GTCAAAGCGCGGCGTAACACTTCAAGGCAACGGGGCTGTCCATGCACAGACGGAGCTGCTGGACGCGGACTGACCTTCGGCTGGCGGCGAAGCCCTCGGCGGCGCAGCAGCTGTCTATCCAGAGCCTGCAGTCGCACTTGCCAAAATCCAGCTCACTTCAAACGCACAAAACGCACAAAACGCCAGATTTTGCGCCCAGAAACACCGCAAGAAGGCCGCAGCAGCCCCTGTTGACACCACGCACTCGCCTGGCCGGCCGACCGCCACCGCCCCGGGATTCGGTTGTAGTACCGTTACTCCGCGCGCCCGCGGCGCGGCGGGCGCTGCTCTACCGCTTCCCGAGCCGGTGGCGGCCAACCGGAGTCGTCCACCCCAGGTGTGTACGTGGGAGCGGCCGGCCGAAGAGACCAGCCGCCCGGACCTGCGGACGCGGAGAAAGCCGACCGGCCGGCACGGGACGGGCAATGGGCACGGGGTCAGGTGGGAGGAGTAGCGGGAGGGGGAGGGGCGGGGGCATGGCGATAGACGAGGGGAATGCTGTTGGAGAAGTGGGCAGAGAGGTCCAAGACGTCTGTCATGCCGTGCCGTAGCGGACTGATGAGTGGAATGCTGTCGCAGGATGGGGAGAAGGGGCCCAAAAGTTTTGTCATGCCATGCCATAGGGGATCGATGAGGGAAGCACTATCAAAGGAGGGGACGGGTAGGCCCAAACCTTCTGTCATGCCATGCCACAGGGTCTTCACGACGTGCTCATCTGCTGTGACAGTGAAGTGCGGGTTGATGCTATGCAGATATAAAACATAGTGAATGACCTGAGTCCTTGACTTATACCTTATAAGCCTTACGCCCACCCCGGCGCAGACCACCTCAGTGCAAAGGTGAAGATGGGCTGGTGCTGTCGGGAGAGCTTGAATAACTGAAACATTGGACCTGCTTTCCTCGACCCAACACATTTTGCAAAAATACTCGAGCCTGCCTCCCAGGCAGCTAAGGGAGTGCTTTTTCATATCGTCTGAAAATTGGTTGAAGAGGCAGGCTCACTAATAAGGCGCCTTTTATTTGAGTTCGAAGGCAAATGAACCATTACAACAAAATTAAGCACCACTTCTCCCAAAGTGAAACTTCTGTTCTTGTCTTTTGCGCCAATTCTTTAAATATGTTCGTTTCACACATTTCCAATAAGAATAATCTAGAGACAAATGATTCTCACCGAAAGCGAAAAGCCCTAGGCTTAAGGAAACTTAGAGTTTTTGCTTCGACTTTATCTTTTGAGTTGAGTACCTTGGCGTGAACAACTATAAACCTTCCGCAGCAGTTGGAGCAGGAGTATAAATTGAGGGAGCCAGCTAGTTTACCTTCTTAGGCAGTGACGTATTCAGGAAGACAACTTATGAACTGTCCCTTCGTCACGGAATTTGCCTCTTTTAAGATTTACGAGTGCAAGCAAAAGCGATCTCGAGATTCATCAGTGCAACTTGCTATCACCAATGCCGCACTAATGACTATCATTGATATAAGCATCTCCTTGATCTGGTGCCAACGGCGCCTTATGCACGGATAACAACATTGTTTATTTTCATTTTTTGAGAGAATCCTGTCCCTCGAACGTTGATTGGAGCCCTAAATGTTAGCTTGTACTTCAATGCTGTTTTTTGAAATGTTGCACAACTTAACCCGCGCCCGGCCTGGTGTATAAGACAGCCACACCCGGCAGGGAGGGGAAAGTTGAATTGCCTCCCTGGAATCTCCAAGAATACGCCTTATGAGACAAACAAAGATGCCATTGTGAAGGTATCGTCAAATCATGAAGAATGCACACAAAATGTTTGACCTTAGGCCACATGTGAGGTCACAAGAGGTTACAAAATATCAAAAACGTCAAGATGGAGACGCGTCAAGATGGACATTGAAGGCAAGAAAATAAACGGTAAGACTGTGGGGAATTCATTCCGACAACTTTTGTCACAAACAAGAGTCAGGTCAGATCAGATCACTTTTCAAAACTGGTCTACCAGTAGCATTTAAGAATGCTACTTTTTAGCAATGCAGTTCTAAGTTTTTATTAGGTGCAGCAGTAGGAAGAAGAATCACGATACAAAAGAAACCCCTAAGGCTGCCATAAAGGTCATTTGAGGTCAACTTAGGTCGGTTTAATGATCCACTTGAAGCGCTACCCGGGTCCATGTGACCAGTACAATGCTTTTCTGTGATCAGAAATGGTGCGTTGTACATGTTTCTATATTCAAAATCACACAGCTGTTGTCAACATTATGCATAGTCCCTTTGACGCTTGGCAGTGCATTTGTAAGAAGCTGATAAGGGGTACGTTGGTACATGAAGCGATATGTCATCAGCTCCAAAAAACGACATAGAGGTGGTCGCACGCGTCACACTCTTATCTAGACTGTCCATTTCTGGCAACATAGGTCATTGATCTTGGTGACCTCATTTGACCTTGCATGTTCTCACGTGACCTATTGTAGCCTCATTATGCATTAGAATGAAATCACATCATATTTTCAGTGGAGTATTCAAATTCTGCGTCCAAAATTACCTCGTGAAACTGCCTATTTTGAGCACAGTATGTCTTTTGCAGATGGCACCCACAGAGGTAGATCATGACCTGGGTGAAGGCCATCTTCCCTGGGGTCATATGATGCCTGTGCATGTGAACAAGTACCCTCCACCTCATGTAAAACACAAAAGCCACATAGAAAGAAATCTGAGGCATAAAAACTACGCGCAACATAATGTTCTATTGCTATGCCGAGTTTAAACAATTCCAAATTACTCATAACAAAGTTAGGTGTGGTGAAAGCTTACCTCTTTTACCTGAGAGGGGCCACTGATCCGGGTACGTCAAAACTTCAAATTCGCACACAGGCTGTGAAATTAGTACATAAACAGATGCGGAAAATTACGAGCTCCTGCAAGCTATCGTTTTTGAGCTGTGCTCGAAAAAATCGTAGGGCGAAATCAATTTCCCAGGCCGGGCACGGTTTTAAGGAAATGTTCCACGTTTGAAGATATCAAGGTGAGCATCACATGTGCTGGAACAAGCAAAATTATCGTTATTGACTTACTCTTCAAAAAATACTATTCAAAACAAAACAATTTCTCTGTGAAGTTAATACGTTCCTCGATACACCATTGTTTGATCACGTCATCGTGCCTCGCACAACATTGATTGCGAACCAGTGGATGACCATGTTATATCCGGAAATGGTGCTCACAAACGACAGATATGAACGACTCAACCATTATGTTTTTCTTGGCCTTGATCACCGCGTGGCCTGTGTAATGTCAGGATTTGAATGACGCCATTATAACGTCATGAATGTCAAGGTGGCATTGGAATAATCCCCCTGAAATAGTCTCCTCATCTTTGCGGCGTGCAGCTCAGAGGCTAAAGCGGTTGAGATCTTAAGAAGAGCAGGGCTATGAATTGCTCTGAATGATTTTCAAGATGTTTATTTCAGCTCAAATCCCCATAGAAATGTTGTGGAAGAACGCACTTGGTCTACCCCCTTAGGCATCATTTGATTGCCATGACTGCCACTCGAAAGGCATTCGATCCATGCCTGCCTTCATGTGATCAAAACTTGGCTTTGGCTTCTGGTTAAAAAATACATGATGACAAAATGTACCTGATATAGTTTCTGGATTGCTGAACTGACTGTGCATTGACACGAGTTCGGGGATCAACTTACCCCCCCCCCCCCCCCAACGGGTTTTCCGGAATGGTTTCCTAACGGCGAGACGTAGGCGAGTCAAACTTTGCATAGCTGTGTATAATTCAATAACAGGTCATTTACCACAACAAAATTATAGGCACCTTGCAACGTCGCTGACCTACAGTTGGGCAATATCAGGGCATGGATCAGTGAAGTTTGTTTCTAGGGAAACGTTTAATCTGATGCAACAACGGGGTGCTATACGAAGCCATACATTTCTGATATAGTTTCTCAGTCAACATGACATTTGAACGAAAAATGACATTGACCTAGAGTCAGGTATCAGGATGAGACGTAGGTCAAATCCGACCTGTTGCGTAACTCTAGAGCTTACTGTATGGGGCAGCTCTTAGCACTTTTCATTGACTTCTTAAAGGTCAGGATTGGTCACTGACATAAAATGAACCAGGTCAACATTTAGTTTTTAAGAACATACTGCCTAGCGTTATCTCTGATGCTTACTCAGATGTAAAGCTTCAAGCAGTCCTGTATGATTTTGGTCATCATGACCTCCAAAATGTCAAACAAGGTCACTGATCTTAAATGAGCACCAGTGATCTTTTACTTGGGTCAAATATCTAGGTTTTAGGGCACTTAAAACACAAATCTGGAGTTTGATCATTTTTTACCTTAATTGACCTGCAAGTCATCACCTAGGAGCCCAAACTGTGGCACAAGTGAGGTCACGTGCAAGGAAAAAAGTTCTAGGAGCGGCGTCAATGGCTGTTAAAAAGCCATATGATACACTAGGCAAAAAAGATGACCTTGTCAGATGATGGGGCATACCCTGAGTTGCTGTACGCGTGTTAGACGCGATGAAAAAGGTATAGACAGGCATTAAATGCATCCTTGCGAGCCAGAATACGAACCGAAGGCAACGAGACGAAAGCAACGAACTGCGATGTAAAAAGGGCAATGCAGCGAAGACAAAGGGATCTCACCCAATCAGTTCTATTCACGTGCTTCTAGTTGCCCCTTGTTCTTACCTTGCAACTTGCTTGTTTGGAAATTTTGTCGACCAGACGATATTGGCGCTTGTGGCTTAAGAACTCCTGGCTGCATATCATTATCCGTAAGTTTAACTTACCCCTACTCGTCATCTCTTAGAATAAAAACGTCGTGGGGACAATTGCATTGTTTCAGTGCGGGCACTAGGGGTATCAGGTGGCAATGCAGTTGCGAACCAGGAGACATTCTTTCGCCACACTGAAAACGGCAATGCACAAAACCATTTGCGAACGAAAATTGTATTAAATTATTCGCATGGTTTCGTCAAAAGCCGACAGGAAAACAAGTTTAAGACACCTTGAAAACAACTGTGAATCACAACGGTGGCTCGTTTTTTTCACGCTAGCCTCCAGAAAACGAAGATCGCCAATACCGCGCGGCCTGAACATCCCCTCCCCTTCCCCATCCCGCGGGCACCCCCAACAACGTCAACCACCGTTCGCCACCGACGCGACGACCTCCGACGACCAGCCACCTCCGACACCGTCTCCGATGCGTCGACGTCGACGGGGACGCGCTGAAGGGCGGGAAAGCGCCGACAGCATGCTCCCGAACATCGCTCGGCGGCGGCTGCGAGTGGGCGGCCGACCGTGGTCGGCCCGTCTGCGCCGCTACTCGTCGACGGCGGCGGGCGGGTCGGTGGGGTACGGCTTAGGCACGCAGGGCGGGCTGATGTTGCCCGGGAAGTCGCACGCCATGGCCATCGGGTTATACTGCAGGCCTGGCTGGCAGTGCTCCTCAAACGGCGTGCCGTACGAGCACTGGAAGTAGCTGCTGCAGTCGTACGGGTCCGGGTACAGGCCGAACTGGGTCGGGCACTTGAACCAGGGCGACGGCGTCGGAGCGGGCCAAGTCGGCTCTAGCTGCCGACGCTCGACGAAACTACGCACGCGCACCGCCGGCGGTACGGCGGGATGGCGGCTCACGGAAGCCTCGATGTTGGGCGAGGCGGCCGCCAGAGCGACACACAGCAGCGGCAGCGACAGCAGCAACATGTTGGGTTGTGGTCACGGACGGACTGAGGCGCGCGCTTCCCTATCAGGCCGGGCAGGCGCTGGGAACGGCCGCTGTCGGCGCGACAGGAAACGCGACCGTGTACCGTGCGAAGCATGGCTGCTGGGGGCCGTCGCTATCTGGGCGCGCTCTCGATATTCGCGGGCGATGCTTCTTACCGGGACGAACTTGAAATCGCTTAGACTAATGCGTCTCTGGGATCATGCGTCTGGTCAATGTCAATTGCAAGGACATTTCGTGATTTTGGCTCGCCTACTGACGCACGCAATTAATATAATCATGCGCAAATCGATGTTGCTTGCTGGTTGTTGCGTCAAAGTCAATATAAACACGGGGATAATACAATGCGAAGCATGCTGCACCAACTGATCTCAAGTCAAGGGATTATTCTAGCTTCATAAGTGGTTTTGAGCTGACATAGCCATCTTGACGACTTTTCAGTATAGTTCACAGTCCTGCCCTTCTTAAGACGTAAATCTCTCTAGTTTCTGAGATACACGCCCGCGAAAATGGGGGCAGTATTTCCAGGTCACCTTGGCTTTATGACACCATGGTAACATCATTCAAATCCTGCCATTCCATAACCAATGCGACCATCAAGGCCAAGACAAATATAATGGTCGAGTCGTTCACATCTGGCGTTCGTGAGTAAAGATGAAAAAGGGCCATTTCTTTCACCAACCAATTTTGCAACCGTCTAGGTCGTCACCCAAAGCCAGATTTTTCAGAAGCGTTACAGTATGATTTGTAATGTGATACATCACAACAATGAAAAATGAAATGCAATGCTGCGTGGCCCTAAAGCATTTTCGTTTTGGCAGTTCCTTTGCAGCACCAAAGTATCATTTACTGGCCATCAAACAGCGAACAATGATTAAGACCAATTTAATAAAATTATCAAATGCAGGCATCTCAACATAACCGGCCCAGAGGAGTGCAATTTCCAATTCAGGTGGGGTAAGATTGTGTCTCTTAGCCAGTGGTGTAGCTCGGTATTTTTGTGATGATTTTTCACCACTTTTTTATTAATATTCTCGGTTTTTACTTTTCATCATTTTTTAGGGTTCGGCCCGTAAAAACTAATTTTGAGAAACTCCACCCCTGCTCCAAGGAAGGTACGTAAGATCTGGGGTGTTTATGTATATATATATATATATATATATATATATATATATATATATATATATGAATATATATATATATATGAATAGATATATATACATATGTCGATACATAAACATACATATAAATATGCCAATCTACACATATATATATATATATATATATATATATATATATATAATCCTGAAATCATCATCTCTTAAAGAATGATGATAAAAGAAGAAAACTACATCCAAGGTTAGGGGGCACAATCATCTGCACTCAGCTGAATAAAAAGCTACGCACCTCTGGGCTGGTTATGTTAAGAATGTCTTTTTTTGATCATTTGATAAGCTTAGTCTCAGCCATCATTTAGTGTTTGATGGCCAGCAAATGATTATCGTGTGTAAATGATTTCCCGAAACAAAATGTTTAATGGTTATGCGGCATTGTGCTAAATTTTTATTTGTTTTGTGGATTATTGCATTTAGAGCTACATCGCAACAGCTTCTGGAAGATTTCGCTTCAGGTTACAATTAGGACGGTCCCAAATTTCGTTGGTGACAGAAAAGATGCTTTTCTCAACGCTGCAAATCGTTCCCCGAGGGCTGCCGAAGGTAAATATATCTTGGATTGTTTGCCTAGCCAGCATGGATGTACACATGGCACTAATGCTTGCGCTGGGAACAGGGTGGTTCAGCCAGCGCACCTGTGGCTTGGTCAAACCAGCGGTCCGATAATTCTCACGCGCATCTCTCTCATCTCGACTGTCGAACTATGCGAGAGTAACTAACAGGCAATACGCATCGGTCATGGTCATAACTAACGTGCCATATACATCTGACCGAAATTCCTGGCTCCGACACGAGTAGTCTGCCAAGGGTAGTCACCACCTAATTTCAGCTCTCTTCCAAATGAAAATGCTCATGCGCTTTGATCATGCGGCGCCAGTGCAGCACGACTCCGCATGTCCTTAGGAGCTTGCCGACATAGGCCAACACGATACACACACACACACACACACACACACACACACACACACACACACACACACACACACACACACACACACACACACACACACACACACACACACACACACACACACACACACACACACACACACACACACACACACACACACACACACACACACACACACACACACACACACACACACACACACACACACACACACACACACACACACACACACACACACACACACACACACACACACACACACACACACACACACACACACACACACACACACACACACACACACACACACACACACACACACATACAAACACACACACACACACACTATATATATATATATATATGCATATATATATATATACATATATATATATACATATATATATACATATATATATATATATATATATATATATATATATATATATATATATATATATGCATACATACATACTACTGCACCGGTATGCTCCAACACGATATACACACTGCACCTACACCGCGGCTGTCCGGTTTACAATGCCAGCAGTTGAGTCAGAGTTTATCTACCGTGGGATCGTTAAGCCGTCTGAGGCTGCATAATGTGACGAGACGGGTCCCACGAAGCGCGATCAAACTTCACCACAAGTCCTGTAACTGTCCCAAACTTTAATTAAGCATGCATAGCAACAACATCGTTGACAATATGCATTTTGTTTTACCCTTTCATGCGTATTGGCATGCTATCATTGCTGTATAGTTTTAGACAGGCAATGCTTTTGATGCTATGATCAATTTTGACAGAGGTCTGCATTTATTCCCTTCTCACCTGGCCCACAGAGATCCGAAAGGAGGTGGGCGGGAGAGGAGGACAGGATTTACCATCGATGTTTCAAGCACCGACAAGTTTTCTTTCGACCTTCAATAACGCCTGTCGCTGAACCAATCTCATCAGCTTCAAGACAATACCCGGTGCAGCCAGCAGACGGAAACCTGCGGGGTCGCCGCGCCTTTGCTGAGACTGTGATCTGAAGGTCTGATGATCTGAAGATTGTTCTGAAAGATGGAACTCTCGCTTACCCCAGCGTTTCCTTCTGTACTGTGACACACCAGGCAAAAGTCGCGGACCAGAAATGCGGCATCGAGCCTATGAGTCAATGAGCCTTGGTGCCCTCGTGAAGCGGGACGCCGCTGAGTCGTCTGCCCCCCCCCCCCCCCTCACCCCACCACCTGGTGCCGTCACACAGCCGCTGAGACACCTGCAGCTGTGTGGGATGCTCGGCTCCGTCCCGCAATCCGTTTATCTCGGCGACTGACGAGAGCCCGGCTTTGCTCCGAAGGCGGGCTGCTAGTAACAGACCTCCGCGGTCGGGTGCGCTAGGAAGAGAGCATCGCACGGGAAATTGGCATTTGAAGTCCTGTATTCAAATCAAAATTCACATTTCATTTTCTTATTCAAATTTGTTAAAAAAGTAGACAGTGTTTTTAACTTACGTTCAAAGTGTGGGACACGCCTAAACATCGTACAGATAACGGGCGGGGCTCGATGCGACGCTTCCCCTTAATTTTTTTTCCCTGAAAATACCTCTCCGGCATGAAATGTGATCGTGCCTAAATTTTCAGCATCCTTTCCTGCATGGCTGCTGATGCACAACTGACAGTTCACAAACAACATATGCAACCTAAAGTTAACCAGCCTTGATGCAAATATCCGTATTATTACAGTCACCACTCAAACATCGGCCTGACCTTGTGCATCAGCAGCATGAGAACCACAGCCGGCCTTCCGTTGTCGACCGTGTGCATGTCCACGCGATGGGCTCGAATCTCGCACTTGGCAAGAACTTTTGTCGTTTCGCGCCTTTTTATTTAAAAGGTGGTGCCAACACGGGAATCAATAAGTCATGTGCCGTCACATCAGGAAACGCTTTAGACGGGCCTGCGAAGGCCAAAACTAACGGCCAGAACAAATGACAAAACATGACGGAGCTTAGGCATTGGACGTGGCGGCTTAAGACAAAAGTAATAGCGCTATTCCTCAACGAAAAACAAAGAGAAAAGAGGTATAGATGCGTTGATATTTCGGCAACATGCCTTCGTCGAAACGAACCGCAGAAGTGTATTTCAATGAATGAATAAATGCACTTCTGTTATTCGTTTCGATAAATGCATGTTGCCGAAATGTTGACGCACCTGTACCCTCATTCTCCTGTTTTTTTTACCGATGAATAAGGCTATCACTGCTGTCTTATCTGTGTGCATAATGTTCCTCGCAAATTCCCTTAAAAACTTGCATCATTTTGAGCCCGATCTGACAGCTTGACGAGCGGCCAAGGGATTCAACAAAATGCTTCGATATTTCACACATTGCTGGAAAATTTATGCAGCTTATGACTCTCATGATACAGTTTATGAGACACTCTAATCACGATGATCTCACGTGCAACTGTCAGGACAATGCATTTCACATAAGTCATTGAACTGGAGGAGGTAGGTTAAATTCGTGATCTAGGTATTGCAATATGCAGAGAGCCTGACGGCTGCTCTTCATATTGGTATTGCTGTCAGCCAAGCTAGCACATCCCGATCATTTTTTTTCAGTACTTTCTGAGTGACTCCGGCTGCTCTCAATCTTGTCGGGCTGCTATGTTAGCTGCATATTTCCCAAACCTACGCTCAATTCGGGAGCAATTTGCCGTGATTTAAGCGGTGCAGCCACTTGCTATTCCGGCCGGGAAATCTAGTACAGCACTAAGTCATCATGAGGCCTCGTATATTTTGTTGGATGCCTATCTCCATTGACACCGATGGATGGGGGGGGGGGCAGATCAAAATTTCAGGTTCGAATTGACGCCACCTGAATAAGGGCATCAAGTGAGATTCTGAACAACGGATACGT